GTGGCTGGCGCTCTGGCCCGATTGGGCACAGTGACTGTGATCAGCCCCCTGGAGCTGGTGTGGACGAAGCTGCAGGCTCAGCATGTGTTGTACCGGGAGCTGAGGGCCTCTATTCAGGCTGCAGTGGCTCAGGGAGGCTGGCGCTCGCTGTGGCTGGGCTGGGGGCCCACTACCCTTCAGAATGTGCCCTTCTCGGCTCTATATTGGTTCAACTACGAGTTGGTGAAGAGCTGGCTAAGTGGGTCCAGGCCAAATGACCAGACATCTGTGGGCATCAGCTTCATAGCTGGTGGGATCTCAGGGACGGTGGCAGCCATCCTGACTCTGCCTTTTGATGTGGTGAAGACTCAGTGCCAGGTCCAGCTGGGAGCGATGGAGGCCGTGAGAGTGAGGCCTCCACGTGTGGACTCTACCTGGGTGCTGCTGCGGAGGATCCTAGCTGAGTCAGGGACCAAGGGATTGTTTGCAGGCTTCCTCCCAAGGATCATCAAGGCCACCCCCTCCTGTGCCATCATGATCAGCGCTTATGAGTTCGGCAGAAGGTTTTTCCAGAAACTCAACCAGGAGCGACTGCAGGGCCCTTAAAAGGGGCCAGGGATTCAAGACCCACCTCCATCTGCTTCATGGATGGATGCAGGCAGAAGACTGAGCCAAGTGCCTTTTCCTCAGCACTGAGGGGTGGGGAGCTGCTTCCCTTTCCCCGCTCTGGGTCCTCAGGGCCCCTTTCAGACATGGCTTTTTTTCTGTTGCTCCCCATTCCTGAGGCTCAAGGACATCACTTTTCTATCTCCCAAGTTCAAATCTGCTGTCTGCCCACACCTTCATTTCCCTGTTTTTTTTTTTTGCTATAACTGGACCTGTCCCCAGGAACTAAACACCCTGGCTGGGCGTGCCTGTCTTCCCTACCTCCATTAATTCCTTACGCCTAAAGGAAAAAAAAAAGATGGAAACTTGAAACATGATGCCATTTATCTTGCTTTAAATAAAATCAGAAAGTATGATATGACATTTAAAAAAAAATATGCCAGGAAAACAGTATGATTCTGTTTCTACAATAAAACGTAATGTTTTGGATATAATTATCACAAGTTATAAAGCCTGGCAAGCAGCTCTACAGAAACACTGAAAGTCTGTCTATTCAGGTTTGCTTGCTTCTATTGTTAATGCACTTTAAATTGTATTAAAAGTCACATAATTCATTTATGAACCTTAATCAAGACAAAATATTTCTTTTAGAGAGAAGATTTCATCTAGGGCTCCAAAGGTCTGAAATGAAATATGCTCATTTTAAAAGGTCAAAATACTGCTAAGTGAACACCTACTCTCATGGATCAATGTTTTAAATTCATGGGTCTTTCTGAGGTCCCTTCATGCTGGATTCTACATAGTGTGTCTATTTCTATGTTTCTAGTATCTAAAGATTTCTGTTGAGTTTATATTTATACTTACATTTCTGCTGTATTTACAATATTAAAAAAAATCTTGTCCATGCTTTAAATTAATTTAGTGTTAAAAGGGAAGCTCTTCAAAAACAAAGGAAATTTAAAGAAAGATAAATACTAATACTATAGCACTCTTATCAGTGAATAGACTACATCTGCAACCACAAGCTGAAATACTGTTTCAAAGGAAATGAAATCAGCATTGTTAGGCATGCATATTATTAAAGCAGAGGGCATCTTGAAGACTTAGTATGTGCTTTGGGGAAGAAAAAAAAAATACCAGAGGAATGTCTATGTTTCAGTGACTATGCAAAGGCATTTGATTATGTGGATCACAACAAACTGTAGCTAACTCTGAGAACTCCCAGAACACTTGGTTGTGCTTATGAGAAACCTATACTTGGACCAGGAGGCAGTCGTCAGAACAGAGCAAGGAAGCATTCCAAGGTTCAAAATCGGAAAGGGTGCATGCTAGGAATGTGTCCTAACACCATACTTTTTCAATCTATATGCGGAATAGATCAGCTGGAAGTCTGCACTCTATGAGGAGAAATGTGGCATCAGGATTAGAGGAAGACTCATCAACAATGTGTGTTATGCAGATTACACAACCCTGCTTACTGAAACTGAGGAGGACATGAAGCACTTTCCGCAGAAGGTCTAAGACTTCAATATGGATTAAAGCTCAACATCAAGAAAACAAAGATCCTCACCACTGGGATAATTAGCAGCATCATGACAGACGGTGAAGAGATTGAAATTGTTAATAGCTTTAGTTTGCTTGGGTCCACAATCCACACTGTCGGTACTAGCAGCCAGTAAATGAAAAGACAAATTGCACTGGGAAAGTGGGCTGTCAGGGACCTCTCCAGAGCACTGAAGAGCAATGATGTCAGTGTGGAGACTAAGGTGCACCTGATCCAGGCCATAGTCTTTGCAATTACTTGTTATGTGTCAGAAAGCTGGACAATGATTAGGTCTGACAGAAGGAGAATTGATGCCTTTGAACTGCAGTGCTGGAGAAAAGTATTGAATATACCATGGACTGCTAGGAGAACAAACAGGTTCATCCTAGACAGGGTGAAACCAGGCTGCTCCTTGGAGGCAAGGATTCTGAAGCATTGTCTGACATGCCCTGGGCATGCTACAAAGAGGGAGGAGTCCTCGAAGAGGGATGTTATGCTTGGGAGGGTGGAGGGACAGTGCAGGAGAGGAAGACCCTCAATGAGATGGATTGATTGAGTGACTGGGGTAATGGGAGTTAGGTGTGTCAGAGACAATAAGGTTGGCACCGGATAGAGCAGAGTTTAGACAGAGATAGTTTAGTGTAGAGCAGAGTTGTACATAGGGTCGCTATGAGTCCACAGGTGACTCGATGGCACATAATGACACGCAGTTAGTGTCCACCAGTGGGTCCTTGGGAGAAAGATGGGTAATCTTTTTCTGTGTGATTATAGCCTATGAAACCCAAGGGAAGGTCAGCTGTGAGTCAGTTTCTACTGACTACAATGATATCTATGTGTATATATCTTAGTTTACATATATAACTATGTATTTCTTCTCAACCTGAAGAAATAACAAGCAGTACAGACAGAATTATTCAGTAAAATAATAACTGAGCCATCAACTAACTACTGTTGATGAAACAGATGGTAGCTTTAAATTATTTTATCCAACAGGCATGTGAGAGTGATGCATGCGGCACTATACTGCTGACAGAGTACGGGAGGAGATCGGAGGAGGAGAGAAAAGGAAAGTTGAAAAGAATCCATAAAATAAAAAAATGCATTTGATGCAGAACAATGGGTTGCTTCCTCCAAGAGAAGGCAGACTATCTCTTAAGGTTACCAGAGACAATTTGGTTCACACTTTAAACCATGATTAGGCACAAGCTGAGAGACCATATTATGCTCCTCAACTGGACTGAAAACCCAATGTTGTTGAGTCAATTTTGCCTCAAAGCAACTCTCTATTGTGTTTCTGAGGCTATAAAAGGAAAATAAAAATGTATTTTATTTGAATAAAAGTTTACAAGTTAAATTGTGTAGTCCGTCAATCATTCACATTTTATAACAAGACTTATTAATGCAATTCATTAGTCTAATCAAGTCTTATTAGTGATTTTTTCCCTTCATCCAAGTTATCCAGTTATTAATTTTCATTCCTCTCTCCCTCTTCCTCATATGCTAACTCTCCAATACTGATTCTATCCATGTGCACACTTTTCTGTAGGTTTTAAAATAGTAATTGTAAATGATAATTGCTCTTTTGTGACAGACTTATGTCAGTCAGCATAATTGGTCCTAGATTCACCCGTGTTGAGCAGTATTTCACAAACCCATGATCATTTCTTAATGACACATAATACTCAACTGTGTGAAATGTTCCACAATTTTTTTTAGCCATTTTTCCCGTTGATTGATGGGCACTTGGGTTATTTTTAACTCTTCGCTATTGTAAACAGTGCTACAATAAACAAGGGTGTGAGCACATCAGTTTATGTTAAAGTTCTTATTGCTTTGGGAAATATACTTAGTTCTGGGATTGCTGGATCAAATGGTATTTCTCAACTTTCTAAGGAAAAATCAAAGTGCTTTCCACAGTGGTTGCAGCATTTTACATTCTCACTAGCAGTGTATGAGAGTCCTAATCTTCCCATACCCTTGCCAGCATTTGTTCTTTGACGTCTTAATGAACACTAATTTTTTGTGGTTTGAGATGGTATCTCACTGGTTTTTTTTTTATTTGAATCTCTTTAACCAAGGTTATAGATTTTAATAGGTGTTGACTGCCTCACCTTAGAGTAGCTGGTGGATTTGAACTGTTGACCAATGGGCAGCAGCCAAACACTTCACCACCAGGGCTCCTTTCAACTAAAATGTGGCTAAAACAAAAAATAAATCTTTGAAAAGATCAAGTTCTGATGCCAGAAGTATGTAGCATGCCACAAAGGAAATAATGGAAAAAAATGCCAGGGGAGGAAAAGAATTAGTTGCTTAACTGTTCCAAGGACAAGAATAGAAACACTGTCTGGAATGACAATAAAATAATGGTGTCACTAGAACAAAAACAAAAGACCACTAGAATGAAAATGAAAAACATTCTCTGTAAACACAATTATCACCAAGCTCACCTAAAGATGATTTACAATTATTTCTGAAACCAGGATCTTAGGTTTTTCCTCCTCAGCTCTTTACTTTCTTTCCAATGAATAAATGTTCCCATCTGTAGGTGTTTATAATGCCTTTCTAAGATAGAGGCAATTTATGCAGCAACTGTAGTAATGGACTCAAATGTGTAGCTAAGGATAGGGCAGGTCTTGCATCTGTTGTTAATAGGGTTGCTATAAGTCATACTTGACTTGATGGCACATAACAATAACAACAACAACAACATTTTCTTCTAGTTCAACTAGAAAAAAATTTGTTACATGAGAAGACAGGTAATTCTACCTTAAGTAAGCTTAAATAAGTATGAAAGTTGTAAAAAGGGAACCTTTTGCCTAGTGCCCATTTCCATTCGTTCCTGGGTATTACAAAATACTCCTACGAGTCTAACCTCTTAAATCCTGCTGTGTCCGAGCACCGCCCATGCTCTGTCGTGGCATTCGAAGAGAAGTTCTCAAAGGTGTGTGTCTCTGTTCATCCAGGTAAGCAAGATCCTCTAAGTGAGCAGAGCTGGTGGCTGACAAGACAGAAAAGTATAGTTAAAACATGTACATTTAGAAAACTTCCTTCAGTGAGTCTTTATCTTCCAAACTTTAAGATCAGCTACTCTAGAAGATACATTCTAACTAGAGTTAGCTAAACTCTAAATCCTTATCAGTATCTAGAACAAGTGCCAGGAAAAGATATCAAGAGTTGTCTTCAGCTCCTTCATCACTATCACTGGGCTCATGGGGAGTAGTAGCAAGTTCAAGTTTTCTTTAGAGATAAAGTGATAATTCAACAAAACTATAATAATTTTATATTAATATGGTGACATTTGTACATGACAACAAAACCCATTAGTTGTTGGTTCTTTGAAATCATAAAAACCATCTCAGAACAAGATACAAAATCACCCCTGGTAGAGCCATCTTTTCTGGTGTCACGGCCCACAGGAAGTGTGCTGTTAACCCAAAGGCTGAGCCTCTCTCCATTAAAATCCTCAGGAGAAAGATGGACAATCTCCTTTCAATGCATTTTGCAGCCTTTGAAAGCAAACGAAGCATCAGGGATGAGTCCATTTTGACTTGAGAGTAATGAATTATTTCATTTCAGTGAGAAAATAATGAAGCTCTATTTTAAAAATTTTCCCTTTCTAGTAAAGAGTGAAATAGAAACATTTTGAGGACTATATACAAGCTCAAAAACACTCAAACTATTGTCGTTGAGTCAGAACCAATTCACAGGGAGTTTTCAAAGGCTAGGAGGAGATTGCTCATCTTTCTCTCACAGAACAACTGCTGGACTGCACCTGCCTACTTTTGGGTTGGCAGAGCAGCTCCTTACTCTTGAGGCCAGCAGAGCTTCCTAAACACATGTTAGATTTATAATATAACCCAAACTACCGTTGCCAAGTTGATTCTACTCATATGGACCCTACAGCATGTAGAACTAACCCACACATTTTCCAAAGCTGTAATCTTTTCATAAGCAAAGTTGCCACATCTTTCTTGTGCACAGCTTCTGGTGAGTTCAAACCACAGATCTTATAGCTAGCAGCTGAGAACTGTTAACTCTCTCACTGAATGGCCAGAGCTCCACAGAGAATAAGTATGTATGTACTAGTGTTTATATGATACATATGTATGAGTATGTGTACGTATGCATATAAAAACTGGAAATGTGGGTAACAGAAGCAGTGGACAGAAAATTACAAAATTATTTTTAGGGAATTATAATATTTATGATGAGTTTTTAAAAATATCATCTATTTTTTTATTGCTTTCTGAATAGCCAGGTAATAAAAGGTTCTGGTGGCCTAGTGGTAAGAAGATGTGCTACAATTCCAAAGACACAAGGTTTGAATCCAACAGATGTCCTCTGGGAGAAGGATGTGCAATCTCCTCCCATGTAACTCACTGCTTCTGAAAACCTGTTGGAGGGCAAGCTATGAGTTAGCTCTGACTCAAAAGAACACAACATAAACTCCCTGTATTTACAGGGAGCTCTGATGGTCTACTGATTGCTTCTGGGATGTCAGTGAAACCCAAAGGTAGGTCATTCAAATTAAAAGGGAAATCTTCTCTCAAACAATTTACAGCCTCTAAAAATTCAATGAGAGATCAGCTCTGAGTCAATTCTGACTCAATAGAAATGAGTTGACTACATTTATAAATCTTTCATCCCCAAATTCAGCCACTGAAAAGAGAGAGAAAGGCAGGAAATAGGTTGATTCAACCTTCATCCTGATCATAAAGGCCTAATAAAGATAGTGGAGGGGAGTTAGGCATCTAAGGATGCCTGTGGCAAACTGAATTAGTAGCCCCAATTCTTCACTTCTACTTGTCTTTACAGTTTTCCCATTAGAACTGTATCCTACTCTGTAACTACTCTCGTTCCAGATTGATTACATGCCCTTGCCCTTGACTTCAGGTTCAGTCATTTGACTTCCTTTGACTACTTGTGGTCTATTTGTGGACATGAGCCAGAGAGAAGTTTAAAATATGCTATGCAATTGGGTGTGTCTTTTTTGCTTCTGAGTACCTATTTCAATGAAGTAAACAGTTTTACAATCCATTTTACTTTACCTTAAGCATTTTTTGGTAAGTAACTGGTTTAATATATTCAAACATATTTAATAAAGAGCTGTTGGAGGTACAAAACAAATTTGTAGAGTGAAGTTCAAAAGTTACATATGCTAATCTTTACCATAAAAAGTTTATAGGAAAAGGATTTTTTTTGGGGGGGGCTGAGTACAGTGTACTTTATTGATGGTACACTACAAGCTGGGCTCTCCAAGCTCCTCCCCTTTCTCAGGAGGACTGGATGGAAGTTGTGTCATGGATGTGAGATTCTCAGTGTGTGGGAGGATCAAGTTGGGTCAAGGACTCCCCAGCAGCTGAGGGTTTCTCACTCTCTTCTAGTGCTATTGCTGGGGCTGGTGCTCCAAGGGCGGTGATTCTTTGGAGGCCATGTGAACCATCAGGTTGACCACCTGGTTGCTGTAGCCAAACGCACTGTTATACCAGGAAATGAGTTTGCCAAAATGGTCATTTAGGGCAATGTCAGTCCCAGCATCAACGGTGGAAGAGAGGGTGTCACTGTTAAAGTCACAGGAGACAACCTGGTCTCCTTGAGAGGCCCTTCTGATGTCTGCTTTACTACTTTCTTGATGTCATCATATTTGGCAGCTTTCTCCAGATGGCAGGTCAGGTCAACAACTGACACATTAGGGGTGGGGACACAGAAAGCCATACTGGTAAGTTTCCCATTCAGTTCAGGCATGACCTTGCCCATGGCCTTGGCAGCACCAGTAGATGCAGGGATGATGCTCTGGGCAGCTCCATGGCCATCATGCCACAGCTTTCCAGAGAGGCCATCCACCGTCTTCTGGATGGTGGTGATGTCATGAGTCCTTCTACGATACTGAAGTTGTCACGGATGACCTTGGTCAGGGGAGCCAAGCATTTGGTCGAGCAAGAGGCATTGCCGATAATCTTGAGAGAGTTGTCACACTTTTCATAGTTCATGCCCATCACAAACATGGGGGCATCGGCAGAAGGAGCAGAGATGATTACCCATTTGGCACCACCCTTCAAGTGAGCCCAGCCTTTTTCAAGGTTGTGAAGATACCAGTGGACTCCATACATCCATAGCACCAGCATCACCCCACTTGACGTTGGTAGGATCTCGCTCCTGGAAGATAGTGATGGCTTTCCCATGGATGACCACTTTCCCATTCTCAGCCTTGACAGTGCCTTTGAACTTGCCATGGGTAGAATCATACTGGAACATATAGACCATGTAGTTAAGGTCAATGAAGGGATCATTAATGGCAATGACATCCACTTTGTTAGAGTTAAAAGCAGCCCTGGTGACTAGGTGCCCCAATGTGGCCAAATTAGTTTACTCCGACCTGCATCACCGTGCCTCAGGGATGCGGCTAAGGCTGCACGAGAAGAGAGGGCAATCTGGACCGACGAGGAGCAGAGAGCCTGAATTGAATTTTTTTTTTATTTTTTAAATAAAACCTCTACAAAACCCAAGACATATAGTAAAATGTATGTTGAAATGAGTTGGCTTTTCATTTTCAGATTGGTGATTTTAGAAGAGACAAATGCTGCCATCACTGAGCTCGATGAATAGTTTACTCCTCCACAATTCCAAATGTTAACAGGCTAACTGAACTAAAGAAAAGCAGTTATATAGTCTACACCAAGCATGGTGGTCCGAGCTTTGGTTTAGAGCTTAGACGCATCTGTGATCCACAAGTAGGGAATTACTATTCCAATCTGGGCCTGCTATGAAGTTACAGTTGGTGTTATCTGACTCTATTAAAACCACCTTTCTTTTTCTTATTATTTAGGTCTCATCAAGGTGAGTAGCACTCAAAGAGACCCTACGAACAACAGTTGTAAACCTTGTTCTATCCCGTGCCATCCTCACACTTCTGACACACTAGAGTCCACTGAAGCACTGTGTCAATCCTTCTGGTTGAGGGCTTTCTTCTCTTTCATGGACCCTCACGTTTCCAAGCATGATGTCCCTCTCCAAGATGTAACACCTCCTAACAGCATGCCTAGGGTACGTGAGAGAAAGCTTTGTCATCTCTGGCTCCAACTGTACTCTGGGTGCACTTTCTCAAAGACATAACTGCTCTTTGGGTCGTTCATGGGATATTCAATACTTTTCATCAACACCACAACTCAAAGGCGTATTTTTCTTGCAGTAACTAGTATATTTTTTTTTTGCCTCTGAGTTTGGATTTTCTTTATCAAATAATCCCAAATCATTTTCTACTGCCTTTTTTTAATGAAATCATTGTTTTCATCAGTTCTACTTTCATTTTCTCTCCAGTTCATAATTAAAAAAAAAATTCTTGCCCATTTAAACACATTATCTAAAGTCATATGAGAAAAACATGGAAATTCTATTAGCTGTTACTCTTTCCTCTACTCATATACTTAGCGGCACTCTCCCTTGTAGTCACTTGAATGCTTTCCATTTAGAAGTCATTTTCTGAGTCAAAGTCTTTGCCCAGCTCTGTCCAGCTTATCCTACCCTTTGTACAACACCGCTCAGGCTCCATCTTCTCTGCCTCTCTGATCAACTTCCAGCCAGAACTATTTCTTTCAGCAACCACTATTTAGAACTTACGTCACACAATTAGTTGCTTACATATCTGTTTTCCCTCACTATCTGGTACACAGTTCCTTGAGGGCAAAAACGTAAGTAAGGTGTGATTCACTTCTGATAACTTTATCCCTTCAATGTAAATCAGTTGTCATGCACAAAACAGTCAAGAGCAAACTGAATTCTGGACGGTTATTGCTGTATTGTCATATTGATGTCCACTCATAACAACTTTATTTAGAGCTGCCTATAGAGTTTTCCAATTGTAAAAGTTGAGGACTGTAGTCTTCAATATGGATTGAAGCTCAACATCAAGAAGACAAAGATTCTCACCACTGGGCCAATTGGCAGCACCATGATAGATGGAGAAGAGATTAAAGTTAACAGTTATAGCTTCCTCAGTTC